TATCGCCAGAATCGGGTGTTGAATGTACTCGTACATGATGAACCGAATGAACATTGAACGCCGCGTGTAGGTTTAAAAGGAAGCATTTGAAAAAAGTTAGTAGATTCTCCTCTCACAATATTTAATATAATATTTACTATGTAAATAAATACAAAAATCTGTATAATTTATGAACGACAAACCAATAAAACAACTGCAGTATGCGGTAATATAATAAAACAGAATCGTCAATGAAAACAACAAACGAGTTAAGCCAAACACAATCAATGGCGCACAAAAGAACGAGCTAATCTCTCCTTTGGTAGGGACAAATCAATTTGGGAGCAACAACGCGCCGAAGAAGTCAGAAGTCGCCCTGTAGTCTGCCGGTGGCAGCGTCCATATTTCCCGCTCGAGTGGTCACAAATGGGCGGGCGTTGTGCGAAAAACCCTACCCCCGTTTCCCAAAAGTTAATAGGGCTTTTGTCAAATACCCGACCGACTCTTGTAATGCAATTAACTCCGACAATGGCGCTATCGTTAACGAATTAATTTTAATGCTCGCGATACTACTCTAAGTTACCAGGCGGAACGGCTTTAGTTCTGTTTCACACTAGCAAACACCTACAAAAACATTATTTTTTCTAAAATTACTTTAGCAGTAGTTTTTTTATGCAATATTTCTAAGAATTTGTTTCGTTGAGTCATTTATAGGGCTCGTGCGTTGTACTAATAACTAGTTAAGTTAAAATTTAACTTTTGGACTATTTTTATTTATTCATGCAAAACTTCTTACATATTTTATATAATTTGATATGTATTGTGTATCAATAAAGACAACTGAAAACTGGGAAGTGAAATGTACGAGTGACCTTCCACTAAATGGAGTGATGTAATCTGATGGGATGGGATACAGGGAGACGCTATATGTAGGTAGCTGGTGTTTTGTGGCAGTCTTTGGAAAGAGTCATGTACAGTTATAGACTTCTAGGATTATGCTTCGACAATAATGAGTTCTACGTCTGGAGTTCAATAGCTTTTTTTTTTTATAGGATCGAGTGGCAAACGAGCACGCAGTCCACCTGATGGTAAGTGGTTGCTGTGGCCCATGGACATCTACATTTATCTTCGTTTTCGAATCAAAACGCAGATGCGTTGTCACTCGTGAGGACTAAGATGTAATGCCTCTTTTCCAGTAAAAAGGGTCTCCGGTTCTCTACACTCACCATTCGAAACACAACAGTATTAAACTGCTATTTGACGCTGGTATTCTTAAGGTATTGGGTAAGCTTAGTAAAGTATGGTGGTGCCGGCTCATGCTGTCCATTTTTACTAGAACTATGTAAAGAGCTGCATTGACGATGCTCATGATCATAATACATCAAACATTGATTTTGGAAGAAGACTGCATAGAAAGGTTTAAATAAATGTATGTCTATAGCCGTGTGGGGGTGGCATAAAAAATTAATTATACCGTGGGAGTCGCAAATGTCGTGTCTTATTATTATTTGCATTCCAATCGATGGATTTAATTATTATACTCGCCTTTTTTTAATTTAATAGCCGAATATTGTAATTTAATTTAAAGTACAATATTCGGCTACATTACAGCCTTTAAAAAATCCACTGCTGAACATAGACCTCCTCCATAAATTTGAGGGAGAGATATATAGAGTGCCCGTTAAATAGATTACCTTATAGAAGGGATTTGCCATAGTTGCCACGCTTGGTGAAACGGGTTGGCAACGACAGATTTTTTAGTCGTTATTAGGAAGCCATTGCTACTTATCTTCCAGTTTGTTTCCCTCTGTCGCTTCTTACGACACCCACAAGATAATATGGTGTAGTCGATATTATTACACCCCTACTACACGGCGATTCACTAAATGTATGTATGTTCTTGAATTATTTTGAATTCGATATACTGTTATAGGATTAATGTGTTGACATTTTTATTTACATCTCATTACATACCTAGATAATAGAACATATCATGATTATGTCTTAATTTTTTAATTATTTCAGAAAAAAAAAAACATTTAAAACAAATAACTAACAGTTATTTATGTACGTTCATACTTAATAAATAATGAAAAACCTTATGAATGGGCCGTTTTGTGCGAGTAGGAAAGGCTGCCGCCGCCGGTGTTGTGACCATACTAGACACAATGACGACCACCCGCAGTTTGGGAATATCCCTGTCGACACTTGTGTACATCTAGTCGAGTGGAAACCTTCAACTAGAGACACACATACCCAGAAGTACCATTGATACTTTTTTTCTGTCTCCCTTGTAATGGAAGACGAAAGCCATAGCAATGATACGTATGATACACAACAAATGTTAGTAACATGTTTTTTTTTTTCGTTGTCAGTAGCGGTCATTGCCTATGGAACGAGGCCGCTCAATTGTACACAGACAACAAGCTGTGTAATTCTTTTATGAAAATATCGATTGAGTTGAATGGTATATTGGAATTAGATACGTCGGATTTTCAATATTAAAAACTCTTTTGAAATATACGACAACGTTTTAATCTAGTAACTTACATTCAATTTCACAGTTGAAAGAATATGATCAATCGTTTTTACTTTAAATGTATAATATATAATTTAAGTTATAGTTTTATTTTTTTAATATGGCAATAAATATCGTATATTTTAATGTTAAGTACATAAATAAGTGTAATATATAAAAAATAATTAATGCTTGTACGTATTTTATGCGCTATAATACCGTTCATCAGATTGCGGTAAAATTTTGTCAACTTATACACTTGCGAAGGCTATTGGCATCGTATGGTTGTTCGGAAAGTCATTTCGTTTTTTCCCGACAGAGGATTGAAGCTGATAAAGACGCGGTAAAGGCATTAGTTGATGTCAACCGGCGAATAACAACACGTGAGATCGGATTGAGGTTAAATTTATCAAATTCAACAGTTTATGACCACTTGAAAGGCCTGGGATTATCCTCGAAGCTCGATGTACACGAGAGAAATCTGTGTCGCCGCATTGACGTCTGCGATTCGCTTCTCAAACGTCACGAAAATGATCCGTTTTTGAAGCGCATCACCACTGGGGACGAAAAATGGGTTGTATACAACAACGTCAAACGCAAGAGGTCATGGAGCAAAAAAGATGAACCGGCTCAAACCATTTCCAAAGCCGATATTCACCGAAAAAAAGGTGATGCTGTCTGTTTGGTGGGATTTTAAAGGAATCGTTTTTTTTGAGCTTTTACCGGATAACACAACGATTAATTCGAAAGTCTACTGTCATCAGCTGGACAAACTGAATGATGCACTTCAACAGAAAAGGTCAGAACTAATCAACAGGAAAGGTGTAGTGTTTCACCAAGACAACGCGAGACCTCACACAAGTTTGGTCACTCGCCAAAAGCTTTTACAGCTTGAATGGGATGCAATGCTACACCCACCATATTCTCCAGACCTGGCACCATCGGATTATTATTTGTTCCGGTCACTCCAAAATTTTTTAGACGGTAAAACCTTCACCTCAAATGAGGAGGTCAAAAACCTCCCCGATCAGTTTTTTGCCAGCAAAGACCAAAAATTTTATGAACGTGGAATTATGCTACTACCAGAAAGATGGCAAAAGGTGTTGGACCAGAACGGTCAATATATAATTTAATAAAGTATTTGTTTATTATACGAAAACTGTCTTTCATTTCCACAAAAAAAACGAAATGACTTTCCGAAAAACCTATTACAATTAACTTACATTAGGTGGTTCCCGTATCGTACCAACAAATTTATTTGAAAATTATACATCATTCAACTTCAATGAATGTGTCATCATTCCTAATTAAACCATATAACTTTTCCACATTTAAAATTATATTTCTACAATTATTTCTTCTGCGGCAGCATCGTGCCTAAAGGTTTATACAATAATAATATAAATAATATTTATGTTCAAATTATATTTAATGATAACCATTAAATATAATTCTTACATTAAATTTTACTGTTATGAACAATAACAAAGAACTAAATTATAATATCCAAGAAAATGTTGTAACCTCTCATTTCTTTTGGTAGAGCTTTTATGCATATACGAGCAATGCGAACAATAATACTATAAGAACAGAATATATAGTTCTAGTGAAAATGGACAGCATGAGCCGGCACCACTATACTTTACTAAACTATTGAACTCCAGACGTAGAACACATTATTGTCGAAGCATAATCCTAGAAGTAAGTGTATGTACCAACATACATCTACCCACAATTAAGGAACAAAATGCAGATAGATGAGTTTCACCGCTGAAAACTAAGATGGAATGCGTTGTTTCCAATATGTGACTCCTGACGGGAATAGGACGAGTATCAAACAAACAAGGGAGATGGTGCTCTCTTTGATTATTATATATAAGTAGGTGTTATTTCGAGTTGGTGCGTGATATCTTTTCAAAAAATTGAAAAGCATAAAATAATTTTTACATGATAGCTGTAATTTTATATTTTTATTATTTTTTTTATTATTATATTTTTATTATATATTTTTTATATTAACTATTTTACATGATAGTCGCTGTTAAGACATCGTTTATAGAGAAGTGAAAGCCCCGACTTAAGAAGCTGTAAAAATTGTATGAAAGTAGTAACATTAAAAACTTTATCCCCTTTTTTCTACCCTTTGAGATGGAACTTTTTTTTTCAAATGTGTATGGTATCAGTATTGAAATATACCTATTTAATAAAAAAAAAGAATTATCAAAATCGATTTACAATTGACTAAATATCGCGGAACATAAGAAATAACGTACAGTCACAAAAAAATATACGTTTAAATTGAGAACTTCCTCCTTTTTTAAAGGCGGCTAAAAATAAAAATTACGAAGAGCAAATTTCTGGCTAGGTATTATTAAAATAAAAAAGAACTTTAAAATTAAGTGAAATCAGTCGCTTCCAGATTCTCTTAAAATATTTCTTAATTTTTATTTGTAAGACTCACTTGTTAGTTCATTTAATAACAATAAATTATCATGTGTTCCAGGTATGGTTCAAAAACCGACGAGCGAAATGGCGCAAACAAAAGCGAGAAGAACAGGAGAGATTGCGGAAACTGCAAGAAGAAAGGACTTGTGTTCGGACACCCCTCCTTCCACGACCACAGCCTGATCACTCTCCACACTCTCCACACACTACGCATGTGTCTCAATCACAGCCCAACAGAAATTACTCTGACGACTCTGATTCGGAGGTGGAAGTCGCCTAACAATTTTCAAGTGACGTTGACTTTCTAGGAAATTCTCAATAAAAAATTGGTGACAGTGTTGTGGTAATAACTGGCAGTGCAAAAACTTTTAAACAAATAAAAACTCATATTATAAGTTCTTGTAAATCAATACTTATTATAAATAACATAATATTATATGTTAGATGTGTAGAAATTAGTACCTAATTTAAGAATATATTACGTGGTATTACATTCTGTAGACAATTCGTTTTAAGATTTTATTTATGTTGTCCCGATTTAATTACTATGTAGCAGGTGAGCCGTGTTAAGTCAGAAACTAGACTTGTGTTCAGCGGTGAGACGTATTTAGGGGTATTACAAAAATGTATATTATTTAAAATAGCAATTTTAAATATTCCTTATTTTTCTAGTTGATAATAGGAAAATCGATACTAAGCATTATGCCACGTATTTTGATTTATTTGTGTATTAACAGGTGTTTAAGAAAAATAACACAATTGATTTGACACGAATACAAGGTTTCAATGACAAATTTCTTTTTTAATTGAAATTTAATATTCTTTGAATAATTACATAAAACAAATAAAAGGATAGTGTTTTACTTACCAAAAATTAAAAATATTAGTGCTTAACCAATATACTGACAAGAATTTTATGTACATAACCTAACTAACAGTTATCAAATCAATAAATAATATATATAACACATTAAGATCACTAATATTTAGTAAGCTAATTTGTAGTTATTATGTTAACATTGTAGAATACAAAATCAAAAATGTTATCATCAAATCATGAGTTGATGTTCCATAATCACTTGCAATGTAATGTTTTGTTAATAATCTGTAGTCAAAAAGCCAACTCTTGTATTAATCAAATTAACCATATTACCTACCCAAGTTGGTTAACCCAGTTTTGAAAAGTACAATGAACAAAATTATCTAATAGAACATATCTTCATATAATCTTAATGTGTTCTCTTTACTAACCATATGCTGGTTTATTTTATTTATTTAGTTATATGTAGCTACATGTACATTTTCTGTAACTTTTTATATATTTATTTTATGTATCTAAATAAACATTTTTTCAAGTGCATAGTCGATAGTAAATATACAATAAATATTTACATACTTGAAATGATTTTGTTTTATTTTGTGTCAGCTTAATGATAATTTTCCTTAATTATTTCTTATATTTACGGGAATACTATGCATTAAATACAACTATTTTTGCGGATTTTATCGCGTTTAATTTAACTTTTTTTAATTCCCGAGGCTTTGAACACTTTACAGCACCACATACGGTAGAGACTAAGGTGTTATTCGTCGTGATGTTATAGTTAACGAAGGCTACCTTCAAAATGTCTTCTTGTGTGCTTCCATAAGAACAGCCAGCGAAGAAATTCTTACCACCCATCGAGTGTAATATCCCTCTCAGTCGGGGAAATAGTTATACTAAAACGCGATAAAATCCTTAAAATTACTTTTATTCGATGTAAGTAATTTTTCGGTTGTTCGAACTAAGGAATTTTCACTTTGTTACATAATGCAAGTAGTAATCCATGAAATCCTTTTAAATTGCGAATTTCTTAATTAATCAGCCACTTCTGTAAATAATAAAATTATAAAAATTCATCAAATTTGACGAATCATTATTAACCGACTACATTTCTTCATTATTACTTCATTATTAAAAGCCTGAAATAAATGACTATAATTATTAGACACAAATTTACAAAAATTACAGACTAAATTCAGTAAGGGTGCATACAGATTAAGTAACATGTTGTGTAACTTTTGTTTTATAACACGTCCACATTATGTGACATTGTTTTTCAACATTGCAACATATAACAATACTGTACACATTCGAATAATAATGCAATATAACAATGTTATATGATATTGTTGTTTGTCGTTCTGCCGTTCGAGTTACATAACATTTATGTCACGTTATATAACAAGTTTTATAACATTCAGCTTCCACATTACTGAAACATGTTATATAACATTTAAATATTTTATGTTATATAATGTGTACTCACGGTAATATTTTAAATTCACTAGACACAGGTAATTAGTGATGTTATGAGACAGTTTAAAAATTGTTTTTATTTATTTTATAGAATAAGGGTGACAAAAGCCTAAAAAGCCTCTTCGACACAAGCAAATCCTTGTGTAAGGTTTGTTCAATATCAGAAAATTTTATTATATAAACACAAAAAAGAAACAATTACCTTTATAAAACATACGTTTTTTTATAGGATAAGGGTGACAAACGAGCACACAGTCCACCTTATGGTAACTGGTTCCTGTGGCCTTAGACATCTACATCTATCCTCGATTGCGAATCAAAATGCAGATGCGTTGTCAGTCATGAAGATTAAGATGGAATGCCTCTTTTCCAATAAAAAGGGTCTCCGGTTCTCTACACTCACCATATGAAACACAGCAGCATTAAGCTGCTATTTTACGTTGGTATTCTGTGAGAGCGTAGTCCTTCCCCGGGCGAGCCGACCCATTCATCCCTTTCCATTTCATCCCTTGGGTGTTGTAAAAGGGGCAATGGCTAATAGAGATGCTAGAAAAATCTAATTGCTACCAATCGGTGGCGGTATACGCATCTCATTTACGCCAGACGTAAAAGGCGATGGACACCAGCGTCAAAGCTTCCAAACATGTTTTCAGTGAACATATACTTACCTATGGCGTCTGGTACTGCGATCGACAATGCGCCTGTCAAGCGTAACGAATGAGATAAATCCTTCCTACAACGGTAGAGACCGGTCCAACACTGGACTCTTGTCTTGGCTGAAGAAGAAGAAAGTGTTATATACATATCAGGCAATTGTATCTTATCATAATTTTATGTTACATACATAATCTATTCACTGATTTTTCTTAACTAAGTAAGTTACTATACATCCAGGATTTTGCATGATACTTCTCAATTGAATAAAAAGTTATTTCTCTAAATTTGTTATGTTCTTCTAAAAACATAAATGTAATCATTATAAAGTTATTATGTTTTTATTTCTAATTTTAGTTTGTTTTTCTGAACACATTTATTTTAAACAACTTTTTTGCATGCCATGAAAGGCAAAATATTTTTTTTTTTCATTTATTAAAAAACATTTCATTCATTTCTTAAAAAAACGTTACCCCCACACTAGGATTTACTCCTGTATCGTGGAGGAAGTTTACAAACACAAATTGCATAAGGACAAACATCCAGACCCGGAACAATTATTTGTAGGCCATACAAATACTTGTTCCGTGCGGGATTCGAACCCGCGACCCCCAGCGCAGCAACTCATTGCTAAGCCACTGCGCCACGGAGTAAACAATATTGACTCTGTATCCATCTGTCTGTACCCATGTTTCATAATTATCATCATTACAATCCTTCACAAGTCCACTGCTGAACATAGGTCTCCCCCAAGTAATGCCACAAAGCACAGTCCTGACCCACCTGACTATGGTGGTACCCATGTTTATAGCGAAATGAATGATCTGATTTGGTGGTAGCAGTAAGAGAATCCACTATCGCATATTATCCCTTAGGTGTCATAAGAGCATCTTCCTTGCAACAACTATGGGAGATGCCTAAGTTCAGCATTGGATTTTAGATAAGTGGAAATGAATGAAAGAATTTATGACTATTATTTTTTGTAATGTTATCTATACAAATAAATAAAATTGAAGTGTCTGTTTGTAATGTCAAAATTACAGTTTTTTTACTAAATGCATATGAAAGTAAATACGGTACTTATAACTAAAATACAATTTTTAAATTTTTGTCTGTCTGTCTGTCTGTTTCTTCCGGCTAATCTCCGAAACGACTGCACCGATTTTGACGGGACTTTCACTGGCAGATAGCTGATTTCATGAGTAACTTAGGGTACTTTTATTTTAGAAAAAGTATTAGGGTTCCGCGCAAAAACATAAAAACCCTAACATGCAAGCGAAGTCGCGGGGAACAGCTAGTATTGAATAAACGCTTTCAGGATACAGGACAAATTCCTAGTGTGGGGTAACATCTTTTAAAAACAATAATTTAAATTGAAAATTTTAAAACCCCCCGAAAAGAAACCCTACTGCAGCTAACAAAACAGCCGATTAATTTGAAACGGCCGAACCGATTTTGATAAAACATATCTAAGAGCCACCGCTAGGAGACCTGCTATTTTAAAAAAATACCGCACCCAAATCGGTTCATCCGTATAAGAGCTACGGTGCCACAGACAGACAGACAGACACACATAGCGGTCAAAGTTATAACATCCCTCTTTTTACGTCGGCGGTTAAAAAAGACTTTATTACTTAACTATCTAATGCACAACTTAAATATGATTCCTTTGTGATTATTTTATTGACAGAAGATTAGACATCAATATTAACTGTCATATTGTCACAGTCCTTCTCTGCATACAAATGAAGAGGATATCCAAGGCAAGCTGTCCGGCCTTATGCATGCCATAATTCTTATGTCATTAACTATGTCATCTGTACTAAATTTATACATGCAAGCTAACGTTAAAGATACCGCACATTGTCTATTCCGTCTATATGAGATTAATACGACTTTTAATATTAGTGAATCATCATCTCATAGGGGGGGTTTTACCATAGTTGACACGCTTGGTGAGCGGGTTGTCAACCGCGGTTTTTGATTATTTTGAGTTGTTAGCAGGAAGATGCCGCTGCCCATCACCTGTTTCAATTTCCCTGTGTCGCCCCTTACCGATACCCACTGGACGATATGGGGTAGTGGATATTCTTACACCCCCACTACACGGTCAAATCCCCCAATGGCGGAATCTATGGGAGAGGCCTATGTTTAGCAGTGGACTTTTGTAGGCTGTAACGAATGTATAATAGAATCATCATCATTACAATCTATCAAAGCCAACGGCTGAACATAGGCCTCCTTCACAGATTGCTTCCTAGGGGGACGGGTTAATTGGCTAAGTTTTTGGCAGGCTCATCACATCATTGGCAGTTGGGTTCGCAATC